TTATTATAGTCAATGTTGTAAATGCGCATTTAGTTCTACTATTATGTAGGTATACTGTGTATAATATTATATTTAACCTGTACATATTTTTGATTAAAATTTTAAAAAGTATGTGAGGAGTACAACAATAATGAAAAAAGTATTGATAACTTTTTAAAATGTTTATCATTGACGTTTATAAATTTTAAGTGTAAATATATTATATTAATATTTGTGTAAATTATATTTTTTTTTTTGTTTTTGGACAATTTTACCATAGACATTTTTGTTTTTGGACAATTTTACCATGGACATTTTTTTCTCGGACATTTTTACCCAGATTTCTACAAACACATATTATACATCAGAAACTATTTAAAATTACACCGGTTATAGTGAAATATTGGGTGTAATAACCTAAGATTGAAAGTTTTGGCAACCTTCTCCCTTAGACGATTTGAATGCCTCATCGGTGGAAGTAATTATATGGTTATTTAATTCAAATACAATAATTGGTACTATTGATACCTATAGAAATATTGTATAATATATTATAATATAATTTATAGTCTGGTTTCATTATTATTTTTAAAAATCAACAAAATATGTACCAAGAAAAACTTTAATTTTTATTCATTTTAAAAAATTTTAATTCTTGTGTAACTAATMTTCTGGTCATGTAAACGTTTTTAATTTTAATTTTAATACAGTTTTAATGCTTTTCAAGAAATATGGTTGAGAGTGAGCCTAATATTTTAATGCAGAATTGGGAGGATGATTATTTAATTGAAACTGCAATTGAATCACCTCGAGTTTGGAACACGTTATACGATGAAATTGAAATACAAGAACTAAAATCTGATAGATTTGATGAAGTCCTTAAAATGATCGAAGTAAATCATAATACTAATTAAAATTGGYAAAAAGTTGATGTACATAGATCAGTGACTTCATTTATAAAGGGCGCCAAGTGCTTATTATACCAGTAGCTAAGTAATATAGTTTTCTTACATTTCTATATTACAATTCATAGTTTTTGTAATAGTTAGCATTTCTATATGATTTTATCATAATTTATGTCTTACCTTTATTATTCAATTAAAAAGTTTTCACAAATAATACATGGTTTTCGCTGTAACAATTGTACTGTAATACTGTAAAAACAATAATAATTTTCTWATAAACTAGGTAGCTGATTTCCGTGCACTTTGTTGCCCGTTAAAAATACCTACTCTCTATGATTCAACATTTTTGGTCAATTCATCGTTTATACCCGGCTAATCACGATTAAAACTTCCCATGACAAATTCCCGGTGGTTTACCCTATCTTAATCTTCATAAAAGATTTTTAACATAGTCATTTAAAATACAGGAATAAAATAAATTCAATCATAACATTTCATCTCATTTTCAGCTTTATAAAAGTGAAACAATTTTTAAAATTGATACCTAATAACATARGTATTTCTTGCAATTTTTTTCAATTTTTCCCAATCACTATGAAAAACACTAGGACTTTTTACTTTTTAACCCCCACAGTTCTAACTAGATCACGTTATCTACCTACCTGACACCTGTTGTCAACCTCTATATTGAATATTATTATAATTTCAAAAAAGCGCTGACACACAAAATTATAAATATTATAAAATCTATACATTCCTCATCCTTGTGCGAATCTAAAGCATTACTCAACAAGACAATAACTGTATTTGCTCGGTCAGCAATTATTAGTTAAACCGTCATAGGTATTTTATAATATATAATGTTTTATGATATTTACGATTTTCTAAAAACTAATAGGATCATTACATCTATGATGAACCATTAATTCAAAGTAGTCTAATGCATACGGACAATGGATCTGTTAAAGAATACTTGTACTTGGTTCAAACTTGGATGAAAGACACTCTTTCAACTGTCGCTGTAGAACAAAAAACTGGAAATGTAGTCGGATTTCTTATATGTCGATTCAACGAAATACATAACAGAGATCCTGAATTCAGCAATCATAGGGTAACAACTATTTTTTCAACTAGGTATTTACCTACCAACATTTAAAATATGAGTATTACAAAGTGGCACCAGGGGCGGAGTGGCTCAAAAATTCTTACCGGGCAAACAGATATTTTCAGGCTATTTTTTCAAATTTAATTTCTTACCACTTATTGTCTTATTGCTAGATGTGTGCTTGCCATTTTTTTATTGGGTGAAGTATAAAACAATTTATTTAGCCTGCAATCATATTGCTAGAAGATATTATCAATTTATTATCATACACATTTTATATTMTTCCTAGCTTCTATTGTAAAGTAGGTAGGATTAACCATAAAAATGTTTATTCATTATAATATCAAGTATTTGAACCAAAAAACTCCCTCTAAGTAATCTTATAACTGAACACAGGTTTTATTTTATATTTACACAAATATATCACTACTATAGAAATTTATTTTTTATACTTATATATTAAAAAAAAACACCTTGTTTTAGGAAATTTATTAAATAATATTTTACAATAACAATTTGCTAAGTAAATTAATTTTTTGTTCGATGCTAAAAGTTTCTTGGTTTTCATTCATAAGTTCACCAACATCTTAAATAAGAAAAATATTAAAATTGTGTTACTGAAAATATRTTTTTTTGTAAGTAATATATATTATATGCTGTTTAATTTTATTATTTTAATAACTATTTAGTCACAATGATAAAAATTAAAAATACATTAACATAAAATCTAAATTAATTAAAAACTACAAATTATAATTATTCAAAGTAAATAACTATTAATATTATAATACTTGAATAAATACCTTGATCTTGATTATCAACATTTGAAACTGTAGCATTATTAAAAGTACCAAGGTCTACATCATTCATTTTTTGTTCGAYGCTAAAAGTTTCTTGTTTTTCATTCACAGGTTCACCAACTTCTTAAATAAGAAAAGTAATACCATCAGCTTATTTACATGAGTATATATGCATTGACAAAAATTTAAAAATTTAAAAGTTAAAAAATATTAAAAATTTAAAAAAAAAGTAATAACATACTACCAGAGTAGGGCGTCATTTAAATAAAATTTTATTTATATTATATTTTATTACTTATAAAATATGTTTATTCGAATATTTTTTATTCCAATTTATACTTATTCGAATAATTATCTAGATAATATTATTTTTCCCAATTCTGCATACTACAATACGTCAAYCTCAATACCTATACCTTTGAAATATGAATTAATTTTTTCACACTTTTGCCCTATCACAGATAAGAGCTTTTTATTTTTCTCTTTTACCCTCTCATGTCCTCCTTTTCGTTTGTTCTTGTTTTTGGAATTTTTATGCATATCGAAAATAAAAAACAAATCGAAAATTGCACGTTATGTAACTTATTAAAACTTTGCGGCTTTGTTTGGATTTATTCCGTATTGATCGTATTATCGCAGATTATACAAACTACAAACATAATCTGTGGTATTTGGTAGGTATTATTAAATAAAAATGCAAGCCTGTGTTGTTATTTAAACCATAGTCATATACTTTGTTGTTTTGTGTCAATTACAATATAATATACCCCGTTTGGCATAGGTGGATAGGCGATATTTGGCCTACCGGAAAATTTTAAGAAGGGGCCTCCACATCAAAAAAAAATTTAATAATATATGATATTAAAGGGCCCCATTACCGAAATACGAAGGGGGGCCCACCGGGAAATGCCCGGTTCCTATCTGCCTATGCCGTTTGGGATGAATAACTATTTATAGATTGTGTGTTTTACTTGTCTATTATTATGATAAGACGACCGATAATAAGAAAACGAGTTATCRCAACATCGAGTATTTACTACTTATAGTATTGGTGGTTCACATATCACATTATTAATTTGTTTTCGTTGTTTTTACAGTTATCAAAAATAGCTAAATATTTTAAACGTTAATTATTCTCATCACACCTGCAGGACCAGG